TATGCCAGCAAATTTGGAAAACTCAGCAGTGGCCACAGGACTGAAAAAGATCAATTTTCATTCTAATCCCAAAGAAGGACGATGCTAAAGAATGTTCAAACTGCTGCACAATTGCACTCATCTCACATGCTACAAAGTAAAGCTCAAAATTCTCCAAGCCATGCTTCAACAGTACATAAACTGTGAAATTCCAGATGTTCAAGCTGAATTTATAAAAGGCAGAGAAACCAAAGATCAAATTGTCAACATCCATTGGATCATAGAAAAAGCAAGAGGTTTTCAGAAAAACATCTACTTCTGCTTTATTGGTTACACCAAAGCCTTTAACTGTGTAGAATCACAACAGACTGTGGAAGATTTTTAAAGAGATGGAAATACCAGACCACCTTACCTGCCTCCTGAGAAATCTGTATGCAGGTTAAGAAGCAACAGTTAGAACCAGACATGGAACAACAGACTGGTTCCAAATCGGGAAAGGAGTATGTCAAGGTTGTGTATTGTCAACCTGCTTTTTAACTTATATGCAGAGTACATCATGTTAGGCTGGATGAAGCACAATCTGGAATCAAGATTGCTGGGAGAAATATAAATAACCTCACATACACAGATGGCCACCGTTATGGCAGCAAGTGAAGAGGAACTGAAGAGACTCTTGATTAAAGTTAAAGAGGAGAGTAAAAAGGTTGGCTTAAAACTCAACATTCAAAAAACTAAGATCATGGCATCTGGTCTCATCACTTCATGGCAAATAGATGAGGAAACAATGGAAACAGTGACAGACTTTTATTTTCTTGGTCTCCAAAATCACTGCAGATGGTGACTGCAGCTATGAAATTAAAAGACTCTTGTTCCTTGGAAGGAACGCTATGACCAACCTAGACAGCATGTTAAAAAGCAGAGACATTACTTTGCCAACAAAGATCTGTCTAGTAAAAGCTATGGTTTTTCCAGTAGTCATGTATGGATATGAGAGTTGGACTATAAAGAAAGCTGAGCATCGAAGACTTGATGCTTTTGAACTTGGTGTTGGAGAAGACTTTGAGAATCCCTTGGGCTTCAAGGAGGTCCAACCTCCTAAAGGAAATCAGTCCTCAATATTCTTTGGAAGGACTGATGCTAAAGCTGAAACTCCAATACTTTGGCTACCTAATACGAAGAACTGACTCATTGGAAAAGACCCTGATGCTGGGAAAGATTGAAGGCTGGAGGAGAAGGGGATGACAGAGGATGAGATGGTTGGATGGCATCACAGACTCGATGAACATGAGTTTGAGCAAGCTCTGGGAGTTGGTAATGGACAGGGAAGTCTGGCATGCTGTGCAGTCCATGGGTCACAAAGAATCGGACACGACTGAGTGACTGAACTGAACTGAAAACATATATTCTTCTTTACCAATTCATCTGTCAATGAACATTTATATTCCTTCAATATCTTGGCTATTGTAAATAGTGCTGTTGTGAACATAGAAGTGCATGTATTTTTTTGAATTAGAGTTTTCATCTTTTCTGGATATATGCCCACGAGTGGGATTGACGGATCATAGTAATTCTGCTTTTAGTTTAAGGATCCTCTATGCTGTTCTCCATCATGGCTATAGCAATTTACATTCCCACCAATAATGTAGGACGGTTCCATTTTCTCCACACACTCTCCAGTATTTATTCTCTGTAGACTTTTGATGATAGCCATTCTGATTGTGTGAGATGATACTTCATTGCAGTTTTGTTTTGCATTTCTCTAATAATTAGCTGGGAGGGATTGGGGGCAGGAGGAGAAGGGGACGACAGAGGATGAGATGGCTGGATGGCATCACTGACTCGATGGACATGAGTTTGAGTAATCTCCGGGAGTTGGTGATGGACAGGGAAGCCTGGCGTGCTGTGATTCATGGGGTCGCAAATAGTCGGATACGACTGAGTGACTGAACTGAACTGAATAATTAGCTATGTTGAGCATCTTTTCATGTGCCTGTTGTCCATCCATAAGTTTTCTTTGAAAAATGTCTATTCAGGTGTTCTGCCTATTTTTTAATTGGGTTGTTTGTGTTTTTGATGTTGAGTTCTATGGACTGTTTTTATATTTTGGAAATTAATCCCTTGTCAGTTGCATCATTTCTTGATTATTCTTTTAGGGGAACATCTCTCCCATCTGCTCCCTTATTTATATAGCCAAAGCCTCAGCCCAGCTCCTGACTCCTGGCCCTCCTTCCTCTGAAATCACCTGTCAACTTGGCAGCCAAGACCTGTATCTTGTCCTAAGCTGCCTTGCTGGATTAGGCCAAGTCCTCATCCATAAGACACTATTCCTATGAATCCATTTATTCTACTTTACGCCCCTCCCAAATGCCAGAGCTTACAGACATAATCTACAGCATACTAGGATGAAATGACAATAAGGGGACATCAAACCAAGGAAAAATAAGTGTAGATAAAGTAACAAAATGAGATAAAGCAAGTACTTAAAATGCATGCTTCAGGTACTATTGGATTGCTAGAGACAGACCAAAATTGGCTCCAAGGAGACCTATGAGTCTAACCAGTTCAAGTTCTTCAGAAACTTATTCTTCTCATCTTCTATTTCTAGGTACTCCTAAATCCCTCTGAAAACATCCCTCTTCCCATATTTGATGCTTCATCCCTAGACTTTTGTACTTATTTAGAGAACCATCCTCTTCTAATGATTCCAATGCAGAATTCAGAATGCTGTACCCATGAAGGGCTTGAGTTCAAGTCCCTTCAGTCATCCCAGATTCCAGCCATTTCCTTATTTATTCCTGGAGTATGAATTTAGTCTACCATATAGGGTCTTTGCATGGTTTAAGTGAGAGGAGGTATATTAAGGGGATGGAGTCAGGTTTAGAACTACTCACTCCGGTTGTCTCCAAGTTCTGGACTAAGTGAACTATACCCAGAGTAATTAGTAGCCAAATGGGAAATGAGCCCCAGTTTTTAAACTAATAACTGAATTAACACGTAATTTTCTCCTTTTGCCTCTCCCCACATTGAGCCTTCTCTTGTAATCTGCACTGGAGAACATGACTCAGAATAGGGACTTCTAGTTTCTTATTCCCTTGTCTTAAACTGAGTCCAGATTTGCAAATCAGACCCTGAAGTCACTCATTCATCCAGCCTCATAGATAAGAAAATCTGCCCCACCACTCAGTGACAAACAGAAGCTGGAGTAGTGTGAGTGAGGAAAATGTGAGAGCTTTTTGAGGCAGGCAACCCAGCAGGCCTGGCCAAGTACGCTTAGTGGCATGGAAAAGAGAACTTCAAGAAAAGGCCACAGGTTATAAACAGCTCTTCGAGATGCAGTCATCCTGCTCTCTGGTGACCCATGACCCAGTGAGTGAAGCAGAAGATCCAGGTTCAATCCCTGGGTAGGGAAGATCCTCTGGGGAAGGAAATGGTTATGCACTCCAGTATTCTTGCCTGAAGAATTCCATGGACAGGGGAACCTGGCAGGCTACTGTTAATGGGGTTGCAAAGAGTCAGAGATGACTGAGTGACTAACACAATCAAATTAGCAACTCATAACATAGACACACAAGGGAGGCTCTCAAAAGGCAAAAGTTGTGGAGAGGGGCTTGAATGCTCCTTCCACCTCCACAGAATGTAAAAGTTCAGAACATGAACTCAGTACCTAGAAAACACTTAGTAAGTCATATATATTTGATGTTTTCCATGTGGCTGTTACCATTATTTTAGCAGAAAAATCACTTCTCACCATTTGTACTCATTTATACTCCTCCCAAAAATTTAAGAAAAAAATGTTTATTCACATCTGTGCCATATTATGTCTTTAATTCAAAGATTGTATCGAAATTCTATTTCTGAAACAAACTATTTCCTACCTAATGAAAGCTAGTGCCCACCCCGGCTTCCTTTCACCAAAAATCAACGGGTTGCTTTTCGCACCCCCTTGTACTTGCATACGTGGCTAACATTTACTCTAAAACAGTTGGACAGTTTGTCCTTGTGTCTTCTTGGTGCTCTCAGTGTCACTCGTATCTGTTTTAGATCTCAGTTTTCTAGCGGGCAAGGAGGAATATCTGGTTAATTTCATTCAGCATCCACTGCACAGAATAGTGTGTGTGTGTGGGGGGGTGTTAGAGAGAAGAAATAACTAATAAATATACTCTATTCTTGAGTATTTATAGACAGAATCTAGGTCTTTAAAAAATAATAGCACTTATCATGTACCTACTGTATGTGCCCTTTTCTGAACACTTTACATGTATTAACTCATTTCATCTTCAAAATGTTGCCAGAGCTGCTCCAGGTCTTTGCTCAAAACCCATCAACCCCCGCCTTCAGCAGGAGTGAACATAAATCTTTACATTAAAGGGTCCAGAGATAAGAAAGGAAGCTGCAAACAAAAGCAAACAAACAACACACAAAAAAAACCAAATCCAGATGGAACCAGCTGGGGCCAAGTTGGCAATGAATCTGACCTCCAACAGATGTCTAGGTCTTTATTTCTCTCCCCTCCTTATCCTGAAGGAGACAGAGGAAAGGGGGAAGTGGAAAGAAAATTTCCTCCCAAAGATGTTATAAAATACTAAATAAAGTGGGATGTAGAGGTTATCTAATGATTTTGTTTATCCATCCTCTTTTTTTCTCCAATCTCTGACTGTGAGATAACTTACAGTCACAGATTGTGATAGGATAAAGCACCATTGAGATTTGGAATCAAGCCTCGATTGTGCATAATTGGCTCCACCAGTTAATAACCCTGTGACTTAGACTGAAATAAACCTCTCTAGCCTCAATTACCTTCAACAAAAATTGGGAATATTGACAATGCTGTTTTGTTGTAAAAATTAAATAATTCAGTGATGTAAAAGAGCATGATATCTGGGACACAGGAAATGTTTTAAAAGTTAAAACCATTATTATTTAATATTGATAATGATAATTTATTTCATATGACATTAAGTAAAGGGATCTATAAGAATCAGGAAAAGAAAGACTTATTTCTTCATTTTTTTTTGTCCCAGCTTCCTACAAGAAAATACGCACTCGCCACCTCAAGGTCCCAGGGACAGATGAGGTGGAGCTCACCTGCCAGGCTGAAGGCTATCCCCTGGCAGAAGTGTCTTGGCCAAACATCAGTATTCCTGCCATCACCAGCCATACCAAGACCTCTGAAGGCCTCTACCAGGTTACCAGTGTTCTGCGCCTAAAGCCACACCCAGGCAGGAATTTCACCTGTGTGTTCTGGAATGCCGATATGAAGGAACTCACTTCAGCCACCATTGTCCAAGGTAAGAGCTGCCCACCCTTCCTAGCTCTACGATTCAGGGTTCAGGCAAGAAATGGATGGCACAGTCAGAATGAGTAACCTGAGAAGAGTGTAATAAAGGTAGTGATTAAGGTTTAGAGAAACTACTAAAAGGAATATAGAGCACCTGGGACTTCCAAAATTGTGGAGCTGTACCGCGCCTGAACCCAGGAGAGGCTGCTGGAAATTGGAAAAGGGACCTGGGGCCTCCAGTACAGGGATGCTGCCACCTGCGGCCACTCCCAAGAGCAGAAGGTGATGAATGGATGCCCCAACCTTGTTCTCCCACCCTCCAGTCTCCTGCTGGAGCCTTCCACTGGCAGAACCCAGGTGAGGTCAGAGAACAAGGAAGTCCTCTGATATGTTCATAAGGTCAGCCTCTCAGGGCTTAGAGTGTTAGAGTGCAGTGAATGGACCCAAACTGAATGGAACAGGAAACTGAAAATACCCAGCATAATGGCTGATCACTTTGATTCAGGCATAATGCCATGAGTCAGCAGTATGAATATTCCTTTGCTGGCTTTTCTGCCAGCCAAGTGGTTTTAGAATTTTCCAGGAAAACTGACCTCTTTAAAAAAATCATTTACAGACTTCTCTGGCTACGCTGAATCCTATATTTTAGAACTTCATGCATCAGTAAAATTTATAACAGTTCTCATGGTCTGCTTATTTTTTATCTGCTAAGGACATTCATTTGACGAATAAGAGCAGCTAACATTTAGTATCAGATCATTTAATATGAGCTAACATTTAGTATCATAATCATTTTGTGAGACAAGTCATTTTTTTGCAGAGGCATATGTCTCCTATTGTTCCACAACCATCACGGGCTTTATTTTTTAAAGAACTTTATTTATTTATTTAGCCATGTCAGGCCTTAGTTGTGGCATGTGGATCTTTCTTTGCAATGCATGGACTCTCTAGTTGTGACACACAGGCTTAGTTGCCGCGCTATATGTAGGATCTTAGTTCCCCAACCAGGAATTGAACCCATATCACTGCATTACAAGGTGAATTTTTAGCACTGGAACACCAGGGGAGTCCCCACTGTGGGCTTTAGACAACACAAATTTATTAGCTCACTCTTTTGGAGGTCAAAAGTCTGAAAAGAGCTCTACTGGGCTCAAATCAAGGTGTCACGGGATTGTAGAGGCTCTAAGAATTCATTTTCTGGATTTCTCCATCTTTGGGAGGCCACCTGCATGCCTTGGCTCATGGCCTTTTCTTCCACCTCCAAAGCCAGCATTAGATTTCTACTTCTGTCATCACATCTCTTTCTTTAACTCTCTTGCCTCTCTCTTCTACCTCTTAAGGACCATTGTGATTACATTAGATCCCTCCCCCCAATACATGCCTCAACCTGAAAATTCAGGACAGTTTTCCCATTTCAAGGTCCTTAATATAATCACATCTGCACAATCCTTTGTTATGTAGGGTAATGCATTCACAGGTTTCAGAACATGGACATCTTTAAGAGGAGCCATTATTCTGCTCTTACCAATAAAGGATATAATTTCAGAACAAAGACAGTCCTTAGTAATGATTAAATTTGACTTTACAGAAGATTTGCTATATTGTCATTATATTCCACTATTTGCTCTCTATCTTAGTTAGATAAAAGAGCCTATGATGAGGACTTGTGTGGCATGCAGGCATTTAGGTGGTGACCCCAAGGGGCAGAAGTGAAAGGTTTAAAAATTAAGACAGGAAAGAAGGAAGAGAAAATAGAAGCATGCATTATCCCAATTGTTGGCATGAACAGTAGAAGCTGAAATACTCAAGAACCTCATGAGAACTGTATAGATCATCTCCTAAGACATTTACTCAAAGAGCTTCAGACTGAAGGACTAATCTATCTGCTTTCACCCCCAGTGGTGAGCAGTTGTCCCCAGGAGCGTAACTTCCTTCTGCTGTGAGCTATGCATGCATGTGGGCTGAGAGAGCTCCCCCAGCATCTATGGCATCAAAGTCATTTCACGGCAGGAAGCAATGTGTCCACCTGAGGGAGTTACTGACCATGAAGTGATTTGAGGCCCACCCAGACTTCTACCCAATGTGTTGCTAAACTCAGAAGAGAGGCTGAGAGAAAATGAGGCAGGACAACAGTAGTCAGTCCCTTGCACTGCTCAAGTCTGTCCCTTCATGCCCTGTATTCAAACTACTGTCTCCGAGCCTTTGGGCAGGTAAGTAGCTACTATCTCTGCACAAGATACATATATCAGAGTTCATGAAACAAGTTACAGTTTCTGCTGCTGCAACTGATCCCAAGCCATAGTTGATATTTGTCATCTCTCTCATCCAGCATACATTCTAGCTTTTCCTCACTCAGCGTTTCAGATGGAATAGTTTGTTTGCCTGGAGGGTGGAGGGAAGGAGGGGTGTGGGGGTTACTCAGACTTTCAGCACTGGGAGACCTGAGCCCTTAGTTGCCTCACCCTCAGCAGACTGCAGTTGCTGCAATTGCCTTTTTATTGTTATTCACTGAGTATGGAAATAATGAGACTCAGAGAATCAGTGGATCCCTGAGTTCCAGACAGTCTTCCCTGCCTCCATTGTGTAGCAGCATTGGAGTTCTTCATGGGAACCATTACTTTGCCAACAAAGGTTCATATAGTCAAAGCTACAGTTTTTCAGTAATTATGTATGGATGTGAGAGTTGGACCATAAGGAAGGCTGAGCACCAAAGAATTGATGCTTTTGAACTGTGGTGTTGGAAAAGACTCTTGAGAGCCCCTTGGACTGCATGGAGATCAAACCAGTCAATCCTAAAGGAAATCAATCCTGAATATTCATTGGAAGGCCTGATGCCGAAGCTCCAATACTTTGGCCACCTGATGCGAAGAACTGACTCATTAGAAAAGGCCCTGATGCTGGGAAAGATTAAAGGCAGGAGGAGAAGGGGATGACAGAGGATGAGATGGTTGGATGGCATCACTGACTCAATGGACATGAGTTTGAGCAAGCTCTGGGAGATGGTGAAGGACAGGGAAGCCTGATGTCCTGCAGTCCACGGGGTCACAAAGAGTCAAACACGACTGAGAGACTGAACAGCAACAACTTGGGAATCAAGATCAGTTCCTCTACCAGTATTATGATTCTTTGCTTTGCTCACTGGCCTGACAATGAATAGAGGTCAAGCTGACTAGGCAGTAGCTATAACATTACATGTGGTAGAACATGTCCCTTGGTACACAGCATCCTTAGTAGAAGTATTGGCCACTAGGGAGCTGGAACTTTAATCCAGGGCAACCTAAATTTGTGGATAGGAGAAGCAAAAACTCTACAAGTAGGTCACTGGAAAAAGTAATGGGAGGAAACAACCCTCAGCATTGGGGAAGCCCTGGCACAAAAGCAGCACACTATTGAGGCATGCCTGTCAGGGAGAAGTGACTTAGAACCTGCACAGAACCATCCATCATTCAGTCACATTCAACCACGGCTGAATTTGGGTGGGACAGACAGAGTTGGGGCACCAGATAGAACTGCTTTATCTCAAATTAAATTTTGTCAGGGACTGGCACTGATCCACAGGCCAGTCGGAGAACTTTGAAATGACTTAGTGCCCATCTCATCATTAATTTCCTAGCATTTTTTTCCTAGAAGATAAAATCCTCCCTGATACAGTTTTCAGAGGCAGCCAGTTCCACTGTCATTAACCCCCATTTCCCCACCTCCCCACACTTCACTGCACAATTCCAACACTAAAGTTAGCCCAGCTTCTAAGTTATGATGATGAAGTGAGAAGTCAACAAAAGGATTCATGCTAAGGATATGGACAGAAATGAAGACATTATAAGTGCACCATTTTGAGGAGCAACTTTAAGTGAAAATAATGAATTAGGCAAGTTGACCTTTCAACATTCTCTACATCTCTTTTTATCACAACTAAGACCACCAGACTTGTCACATTATAAAAACTGAGCTATAACTAATTTGTACCAGTGTTCCACAGGCTCGAATATTAGTAATCCCAGGGGAATTAATTTTTTCCAAGAATTGTTTAGTCAACTTTCCTTTGCTATGTATAATTTTCTGTCTGGTTAAGTGTAGGCCAATACTGGATGAAATGTGGTTTTTCTAGAGTGACACTTACATAAGGATCTTCACTGGGAAACATGGGCCTAGATAAGAAGAATTTGGAAATAACTACAACCTACCCTTGTCATCACTGATTACATCAGTATTTTTCTCTTCATAGTAGACAGGTGGAAGGACAGACTGACCATTCGTCTAGAAGCCTTAAGGCAGTGAGAAGTTAAAAATGAAGGAAGTTGGCCCTTCTCTCCATGGGAGAGACCTAATGGGAGAGACCTGATAGTAGAGTCAACAATTGTGGGAGGGACCTGTGGGGTCTGCATCAGAGCTTTCGCGCTCCTAGGATATCACTCATGAATGCAGCCAGCAGGGAGATGGAGGAATCTTTGTGCAGTTAGATTCTCTGGGTTGAGAGTCCCTCTCAGCTCTGTATTCATCCTGCCCCCAGACATGGATCCTCTGCTCCAAGTAGTACCCTTTCCTCACCCTGTACTCTCTGAACCTACTTGCACCTCTCTGGTCACCATGACTTCTTTGCTCAGGCAGTTTCTTCCACACAAACTATCATTCTTCATTGTCTTCACCAGCTCTCAGGGTAGTTCAAGTAACTCCAGAGTACAAGGCATCTTTCCTTCATCTCACCTCCTAAGACCTATTTCTTTGCTTGCCTGCAACTATGCTTGTCTTTTCTCTTTCATTGCTCTTTTATTTTCCATGGATTTTAATTGTTCACATGAGTCTTCTTTATATCCAAACTAAAGTAAAACCTGAGTGTTCTGCCCATGGTAAGTGCTCAGCAAATGTTAGATTAATGGCTTGGAGACTTACTCTTGGACTACCCCAGTCCCATCATCCCAGCTGCCAGTCTGTGTGGATACAAATGATTGCCTAGTTTGTGGTACAAATAACAGCAACAAGATGACCAAAGTCACACATCCTCCCACGGTTCCTTGCTCCTATTTCTCAAAGACATTTTTAAGTTGTCTTATGACTGTGCTCTTTCTCATAAATTGGCTCCTCGCTGCTGACTTCTGTGACCCACACATACTTCTTCAGAAGTCAATGAATAAAACACATAACAGCAGTGAGAGTCTGGGGTGCGAGGTGCTCCAGTAGCTCCAGAATAGATGACTGAACATCTTAATTTTCAGTCAGAAATTAAGGAACAGTGACACCATTTTCCTTTTGAAACAGGGTTCCTTCCACTCAGCCAGTGATGCATTTTCATTAGGAAATATAATGAGATGGGAGCACAGGAAATAACTATAACAAGACCCTTGTAGGGCTAGCAGAGAAGCTCTCCCAGGAGACTTGGAGGTGACTCTCTGGCAGTGCTCAGGAGTACGGGCTTTGAGGTCAGATGGACTATAATTTCAAATCCTCTCTCTGCTACCTACTAGCTTTGAGAACATGAACATATGACTGAGCCACTCTAGAACTCAGCCTCTCATCTGTAGAATAAGGATAAATAATGGTAGATACCTAATAGAGTTGGCATGAGGATTAAATGAAATATGTAAAGTCCTTAGCAGTCAGAAAGGATAGAAACAGAAAAACAAACAAACATGGTTTGTCCAGCAAGAAGTCTGGTTTCCTTATAGGTGCATGAGACTGTGGATAAGGACAGATCCAATATTTTTCCCATCCAATGAGGACATCTCATTGTTAAGTAGCATGCAATTATTATAAAATAGTCTAGAATAATATGCATTAGGATTTAGGCTAAGAGACCTCGAAATACACTGGTGTGAAGCAAGAGTATTCTTCTCTTTGATGTCACATTCAGAGATAGAAGGTGGGTCAGAGCAGGTAAGTTGCTGTATTCTATGAAGTCATTCAGTAATCTGGGTTCTTTCCATCTTATTACTCTGGCACTCTCCAGGATGTTACCCTGTTGAACTGTCAAAGCTGAGTCACTGCCACATTCATGTTTCAGTCCACAGAAAGAAAAAAATACACCCAGTGTTTTGAAGGCCAAGACACAAAAAGCCCATTCTCTAGGCCTGAACTTAGTTCACTTGGCTGGCCACACCTAACTGCAGGGAAGGCTTAGACATGTAGTCTCAGAGAAACCATGTGTCCAGCTAACACCTAGCTAATACTAGAGAAGAAACAGAGAATGGATTTAGCAGTCTACCACAAGATTTAATGATAAGAAAGACTGGGCAAGGTAGACTAGATGGACAGATAGTCAGTTAAGTCCAACAAATCCTTATTGACACCTTTCATGTAGCTGGTGCTTGGTTCTATAGGGGATTCAGAGATGACTTTGCAAAAGTCTTCGTAACTTCGTGTACTTACATTCTAAGCAGACTGATGTCTTATTGCATGTTCAGTGTTAGAAAATCTTTAAGAATAAGTAGAATTTGTGTATGGAAGGAACTGTGAGGGAACCTTGCAGAACAAGGGTTTGCATAAAGGCACTGAGGTAAGGACATCTCCTGCTGTGGGGACAGTAAGAACTCCTTGACTTATGGTGCTGCACACAGCAAGTGCTTAATAAGTGCTTCCTGTGTGTGTGTGCTCAGTCACTCAGTTGTGTCCAACTCTTTGCAACGCCATGGACTATAACCCACCAGGCTCCTCCGTCCATGGTGTTTTCCAGGTAAGAATACTGAAGTGGGTTGCCATTTCCTATTCCAGGGGATATTCACAATCCAGGGATTGAACCTGAATCTCTTGCGTCTCCTGCACTGGCAGGCAGATTCTTTACTACTGCGCCACCTGGGAAGCCCCAATAAGCACTTCCAAGAAAATATTAGTTACTATGGGTTATGTGTGATAAGGGCTGTTAACTAGATGTATTATGGTGATTATTCACAGTGTATACAAATATCAAATTGTTATGTTGTATGCCTGAAACTAATACGTTATATGACAATTATACTTCAATTAAAATTTAAAAATATGGATTATCCAACGTGTAGATGAACCAAACTTCTTAATGCTTTTTATCTTTATGTTCACTACAATCTTAAACTTAGAGACAAATACCTGTGGGGCCTGAGCCTTGAATCAGACAGATCTGGGTTTGTAGTCCTGGTTTGGCCACTTACTTAGCAGTGATGTGTGCATGTGTGCTCAGTCACTAAGTCATGTCTGACCCTTTGTGACCCCGTGGACTTCAACCCCCCAGGCTCCTCTGTCCAAGGAATTTCCCAGGCAAGAATACTGGAGTGGGTTGCCATTTCCTTCTTCAGGGGATCTTCCCGACCCAGGAATCGAACCCACGTCTCCTACTTGGCAAATGGATTCTTTACCACTGAGCCACCAGCCCATTAGTAGTGATGACCTTAGATCTTGGAGCCTTCCTTCCTCAACTCTAAGATGAGAGCCTCAAATTAAATGACATCTAGTCCCTTCTTAGCTAAAACTGTCTGTGGTTCTCAGATAACACTATGATGGGGAAGGGGGAAGACAGATGGCAGGACTGAGCCCTTCTTCAAGAGCAGTTCTGCCAGACTTTTCCAGGACCAGGCTGTGACGTTTATTCTTTTTTTGGCTGTGCCCAGGCCCTCAGCAGTGAGAGTGCAGACTCCCAACCACTGAACAGCCAGGGAATTCCCTGTTATGTTTATTCTTTATGAGTTACTCCATAAGGCAAAATTCAGCCTGTTGAAAAGGGCACGGTTTACTTGAGTATGCTTCCATCTCCCTGTAGTGAACCCCCATCCAGGCCTGTCCTTGGTCAGTCTGGAGCCCTCATTCTAACCAGAGCACTCCTTTACAATGCTTTCCCCAACCTCCAAACTTACTCTTCTCATCCACCTCTCTACTAAACTCATCTCTTCCTCAGTGCCAGACCTTGATTCTCTGAGAAAAGGAAAATGGCTAGTTGTAATGATTCACGTTAAGGTATGATATTCTGTTTTTTCAAAAGGATCCTCTCAATCCTGGAGATTGAATAACTGATCAGATATATTCTAAGCATCATGAATGCTTGACAGTGGAGAAGGAGACATATTTGGGCTGAGGGACTATCCTACTATAAAAAGAGAGATGATGAAGGAGAAAGAGCAAGGAAGGAAGGAAGAAAAAGAAAGAAAGGAAGAGAAAGGAAGGGGAAGGGAGGGAGGGAGGAAGAGAAAGAAAGAAAGAGCACATAATACAATAGGTATATAAGAATGGTGAAAAACATGGAATGTTTTTTGGGCAGCCTGGATTATATCTCAGCTATGTCACTTAATGTGTAATTTTAGGAAAGTGTGCTAGGTCTCCGTGCCTCACTTTCTTCATCAGTAAAATGAGGGTTATAGTACAGCCTGCCTCATAGGGTGGTCATGAAGAGTAAAGGAGCTAATACAGACGTCATTTATATACATTCAGCATTCATAGAAAAATACCTGGCATGGAGTAAATGCTCAATGCAAGTTGGCCATGTTGGTTATAACTCACTTACTTGGCTACATTTTTGGTTTGCCTCAGGGTTACCATGCAATGGGATTCTGGTGCTTTTTCTTTCTGCCAGGTCCTATGGAAGACCCCAAGATCCCTCCATCTTCACTGCTTCATGTTTTCATTCTCTTCTTCATCATTGCTTTCATGTTCATAGCCACAATGGTAGCCCTAAGAAAACGACTCTGGCAGAAGTTGTATCCTGGAGAAGGTAAGTGAGTTTTATTCATGGTAACCAAGTAGTCTGGGTGTCTGCAGTGTGAGGCTCTGCTTGGCCCCACCGACCTGTAGCTTCACACTGTGTCCACTCAGGGCTCATGAGTTTCTTTGGGCTTGTCCTGATGATTGTTTCCCAGAAGAAAATGCCTCTGGTCTTCAGTAAGATGCAATGTTTTTTTTGAATAAAAATATTGATAAAAGTAAAAATTAAAAAACTGTATATTTTTAAATGAGTGTTTCATTCCTATAGCTGAAATGGTTTGCTTTGTTCTCTGAGCCAAGAAGTGTCATCAGCCTCATGAGATCAGTGTTATTTGGGCAATGCAGACAGTTGTGTAGTCAGAGTTCACTGGTAGGAAGATGGCAGGATCCTTCATGAGGACTCCTTTAGTTTTCATTCCTCCTTTGCCCATTCTGGGCCTGAGCTGGGCTGAGCCATCCTCTTACCCACAGGAATCTGAATCTTCTGGTTGGATAAGGAAAGGAAAGAAGTGTGAGGCCATCTGGCATAGCGAAAGCACCTGACTGGTGGTACCCTGAGATCTTTCAGCAGCTCCCTCCTCAGCCCGTCACAGGCTCACCAGCCCACTCCATTCTACTGTGACAGTGAGACAGAGCTTGCCTGCGGTGTCTGAATCCAGGCCAGAATACCTGCAAGCCCATCTGGTGCTTTCCTACACAGCACCCAGTGAGCCTCCTCCCAAGATCAATACACAGCCTATAGTAAAGGAAATAGCAGCTAGGAATAATTCACTAAGAATTTGAAGTGGTCACTATTTGAGAACTGGGGTGCTTTTCAGTGATTGTTATCCTACATTCACAATCTAACTTCTGTATTCTCATCTGCCATGAAATACTGTCATCATCTATTTGTCCGTTGACCTATGTGTGCATTAGCTTGGGTAGTGACCACAAACCTGCTTGTGTAGAATCCAAGATCCATGAACTGTTGTCAAAAGAAAGAGGGGGGTTGGGGAGGAAGGAAGAAGGGAAGAAGGGAGGGAGGAAAGGAGAAAAAATGGGATGGGGAGAAAGAATGGAATTAGAGGAATTATAGGGTCCTGCCCAAAAAATCTTGGACTAGACAGAATCTCTTCTGCAAATCTGTGACTTCAGAGAGTCATGACAGATGCAGCTCATCAGAACCTTATCTTCTGTATTCTTTTTCTTTTTTTTTTTTTGGCTACACTGGGTTTTTGTTGCTGCATGGGCTTTCTCTAGTTGTGGCAAGCAGGGACTGCTCTAGTTGCACTGCGTGGGCTTCTCATTGTGGTGACATTTGCTGTGGAGCACAGGCTCTAGAGCATGTGGGTTTCAATAGTTGTGGCATGCAGGCTTAGTTGCTCTGTAGCATGTGGAATCTTCCTGGGCCAGGGATCAGAAACATGCCTCATGCACTGGCAGGCAGATTCTTAACCACTGGACAACCAGGAAACTCCTGCATTCCTCTAGTACTTCCCTCATGTGTACCCCTCAGATGCAATTTTACAACCAAGGTTCCAGGCTTGGGGCCTGAGAACCCATTAGGCACCTCATAAATGAGTAGTGGGTTTTTCATCCTTACTCTCTGAGGAAATGAAATAGAGCCACATTTCTTAAAGATAGAATGGAGAAAAAGACTAAAGTAGAACAGGGAGAGAGAATTTCAAAGGTATTTCCTGGGCCAAGTACCCAAGTTAGCAGTCCCTCAGCCTCTGAGGACCTGGGGGCTTGGGCAGACAAGGGAATGGGAAGTAAGCAGAGGCCTTCTTTCTTCACAATTTTCTCCTAAGGGTATGGTTTTAGTTTGTATCCAGCCTGAGGTCTCAAACCACGGTGGAAATTTATTCTTCTCTATGTGGATTTATCTGGATTTACTTTTCGTTCTGCCATCATTTCACCTATAAACAGAACAGTTTCCTCGTTAATCTTAACCCATCCCTGGAATTTTTCTTTTTCAGATGCAACAAAAAGATCTGCCACCATGGTAAGGAAAGAAGAAGACAGAGCTGTGAGTAATTGTGATTTCTCTTTTCTGTTTCACTTTCTTTTCTCCCAGATTAAATTAAGAAATAACACCTCTGCTTTGTTGCACCAAGGGCAAATAGCCTGGGCAGAATCTTCCTGCTAAGTGGCATTTAGTTTCTCTTGCAATCCTGCATTGTTCCATACCTTTTTTGGAAAATAAAGATGATGTCAGTTTAATAGCCACAGGACAACTATATAGCCTTTAGTCTGTCTATATTCCTAAGCACTCCTAGAAAATAATGCATGGACATCTGGGCTCAAATTAGAAACATGGTTAAATTTAACAGCAAAAGGAAGATAGTCTACTGTGACACAATCAGCAGCTGGGGTTTTTAGTCAGTAAGTACACTGTGGGTTGTGGGTTAAGGGTATTTCTGGAGATGTAGAAGTCTCTTCATGAGATTGAAAGGCTTGGAGCTGGAATTTATGGGAGAGTATGTGATCTAGAGGTCAGGAGAAGTAGGGTTGCTGAAACCATTCAGCTTCATCGGATGAAAAGCATAGACACTGGGCAAGTGGTCTGTTGGAGATTCTCAGATCTAGGTCACATTGTAAAATGGGTATTTCTGGCTCTCTTGGGAAAGCTGCCTTTGCCTGTAATCTAGGGATCACATGGTGTCACACATGACTTTATGAGTTCACCAAAATAGTGATAGGTAATTAGTAGACATTTCTAAATAACTTTGTATTATCAGCTGCTCAAAATATTAAGAACTGTTTACTTTTAAATTCTTTTGAATATATTGCCCAGATTCCAGTGACACCGATTGTGAAAATAACCCTAGAAAACGTTCAAATACCAGGGTCTGCATTTGGCTTATCTATCACACATGGCAGTTCATAAGCACAAAATATGACTTAAAAGAATGAAATGAAAAGAGGCTCCTGCACCCTCCCTGTCTCCACCACTCGCCTGAAAGAGATTCTTGAAAATACATCCTGTCACTATAGACTCATTCCTGGACCCAGTGCCAGGGAAGAAATGCAGCCTAAGCCGGCTGTGCTTGACATCCCATTACCTGAGCTTTTCTGAATCATGAGACAACTTTCAGATCAACACTGGAAGTTCTGATACAAACATTTGTTTCTCGGGAAACAAAAATCCTGTATTCCTATAAATTGATCTCCTTGGCCTCCAGGTGAGTTCCCATGAAAGAGGCCCAATATTTACTAAACTTTATGAGGTCAAAATGTTTGAATAAGTGACTCCTTCAGCTGCTCAGAATAAGGAAGAAATAGTGAAAAATGTGAGCACAGAAGTAATAAACTCAGATACCCTTCAGGCCAGTGATGAAATGAGTAACAACTGTCTAGTATAACCAGATAGGGAGTGGGGGAGGGGAGGGATTGTGACAAATTGGAGAGCATTTTCCCTGTCAGTTTAGCACTAGCCTTACATTGCCAGAGAAGATAGAAATCCAGATTTTTATATAAAACATCTTAATTATTAAATGCTAGCTGAAAGTATTTCAAATAGCAAACAAACTAAACAAAACATGCCTGTAGGTTAATTGAGCCTGTTGATCAGTTTTCAAGTCCTTTCCTAGAAACATAATATTGTAAGGGAAGAGTTTAGAATCTGAATAATGAAGGCAGAAACACCTATTTGAGGAATTGATCTTTATCATGCACATACGTATATGACATTATTTTATGGTCTATTAGTACTTGTTTTGATTGCATTCAAAGTTATTTTCAGATTGATTGAAGTCTTTCTAATCTTGTTTAGAGCTGCATAAAATATAGAACTTGGTTGATAATCACCAGCAAAATATTAAAGGAAAAATTATTTTTATTTAGTATAATGTATTATGGTTTTGTCAAAGCAGATACAAATGTGTTAGATTTTCAGTAGATGCTTTTTTTAAAGTTCTTCCCTAAAAAGTTGCTCATCAGTTATTAACTCTTTATTGAGAACTGATTTAACATTTGGAATAATATCCCCTGGGAAAAAAAGGGAACAGGACATGGAAATACTGATTTGAGGGATAGAAAGAGAAGAGATCTGGGACCAAGTGTTTGGACAGCTAAGAAAACTTGGAATGTGTTGCTGGAGATGAGGGGCACTTCATGCTCCTCCAGAAAAACAACCACAGAACCACTTGTTGTTTAGCCACTAAGTCACATCCAACTCTTTTGTGATCCCATGGACTGTAGCCCGCCAGGCTCCTCTGTCCATGGGATTTCCCAGGCAAGAATACTGGAGTGAGTTGCCATTTCTGTCTCCAGGGAATCTGCCCAACCCAGAGATCAAACCCATGACTCTTGCATTACAGGCAGATTCTTAGCCTGAAAAGTATGAAATCTATAGGGCTGGCAGGTTGGGAACTCAGGTAGGATTTTTTATATTACAATCTTGAGGCAGAATTCCTCCTCTGATTGCTGTTAAGGTCTTCAACTGCTTGGATGAAGCCCACCCACATTATGGAAGGTAATCTATTTAAAGTTAGCTGATGGTAAATGTTAATTACATCTATTATACGAAATACCTTCAGAGCAACATCTAGACTAACATTTCACCAAATAGCTGGGCACAGCAGTCTAGCCAAATTAACATAAAATAAACCATCACAGGCATCAAGAAATGAGGGAGACAGTCTTGCCCGGAGTAAGTCAGTTTGTCAGACTTCCTTGAGTCTTTGAAAATACAAGTATGTGGCCATCTATTTTCTGGTCACTGGAGTTGTCCAAATGACCAGGACTTTGTCTAATACCTGCTCATCCATGCAGCTACCACTCCAGATTTGCATGTAGACTATTTAGGGTTTTTTGTTTATTTCAGCAAGATGTTTTCCCCTCAACTCCCTGCCTGTCAACCATTCAGTAACAAAAGGCATCTGTGACATCAGAATCTACTACTTTGTATATTTTGAAGTAATGAATATCTGAGTAGATCTAGAGGGGCAAAAAAACCCCCAAACTTGTAGTCAAGAAATTACTTGATAAAGTCAAACAAATTTTTTGAAAAAAAAATTTTTACTTCTCAGTAAAATGAACAAATTATAAGAGCTGGATTTGACTTATCTAATATCTTGTTTCATTGCCAATACCCAATGAGAATTATAGATAGATATGTATAGCTGTGTATAGATAGCTTTGGGAAGTCCCCTTGAACGGAGCAGCACACACTGCAAGACCTGATTCCCTCTACACTGTTTTCATGATCAGGCCAATCTCCTGTCTCTCGACTAGATTTGAGCTCTTTTGCATGGCTTTTCAGGCCATCCTTCTCCCTTTCTTGTTCCCAAGCCGTGCTCATTCCTACCTTTGCCCCTTTGTTCGTGTTGTGTCTCCTGCCTGGAATGCCCTCCTCATTCCTTCTTGCTGACTCAAACTCAAACTTCTTGTAGGATCTGCCTTCGTATAGAATAATAAGTTAGCATTATTATTGTTTTAATGCCAGACCACTGTTCTAAACACTCTAGAGGTACATTTAATTTTCACAGTAGCCCTACGAGGTATATACTTCCTCCCCACCACCTCCAGTCTCAGAGGTGAGGAGATACTTGTGCAAGGTCGTATGACTAGTGAATGCATGGGCCAGAAATTGGACCCAAGTATGCCAGTACAGAGCCCATACCTATACACTAAACTGTACTCCCTTTCTTAGTCTGTAAGACTGTCTCTGCAGCTCAGCCCTCTTTGTTTTTCCCTCTGCATTGTACACACAGTCTATACCACTCTCAAGTGCGTGGTCACAGCATTATTTCCTGGCTTCTTCTAAGTGTACATATTTTATATCTACTTAGTCAATGAAATGAAGTGAGATATTACTGTTAATAAAACTATTGGGTATTTGGTTTTGTCTGCTTTCTTATCTGTTTTTCTATACTTCTTTTAGCTTATTCTATGATCAGTTTAAAAGAAAGTGACTGATTTTGACCAAATCAGGCTTGCTACTAAAAAATCTTGTTTAATTTTAGTTGAGTTTGCCAGCTCAAAAGAGAACAACTTATAATGATTTCTAGAACATTTGTCGTACTTTAGTAGGCACCTATTAATGAGAATCAACCACAGTTAACACTCTCCTACCCACTGGTGTGTATCAATTTAAAAAAAATGAGTAGGCAAACCATGGCCAGGAGGTCAAATCCCCACCTGTTTCTGTAAACAAAATTTTTATTAAAACTTAATCATGCTTTCTGTTTTCATATTATCTCTCCCCCTAATTTCCCATCGGTTCATATGCTTCTTATGGTAGAGTTGAGTAATTGCAAGAGACCATATAGCCTATAAAAATCTAAATTTTTTATAATCTGGCCCTTTACAGAAAATGTTTGCTGTCTCCTGACCTAGAGGTTCTCCCAGGCTTTGCACCTTCTTCCACAGTAAATGTAATGGGTTGGTCAAAAAGTTCGTTCAGGGTTTTTTGTAAGATATGGAAAAACCTGAATGAACTTTTTGGCCAACCAAATACTTCTTCCTGTGCTAAGTGATACAATGTCACCCCCACTCCTATGTCAGCTTCATGAAGTCTGAGGACAGAGCCCACTGGAAGTTCTTAGGCCGAGCCAGCCTCTCACTCTCCGACACACAGTCACTGCCACGCTAGCTCTGCCTCACCCCCAAAAGCCACCACTGGGGGACAGTGTTAGGTTCTAGGCTTTCCAGGAGCAATCCTGGGCCTTCATATTCTTACTCATTATCATCTCAGAAGATGAAGTCTTGGGACTTGCTCTGGGCATGTCCTTTGGACATATTTCATTTCATTTCTATAATTTTAATTTTTATTGAAGTATAGTTGATTTACAGTATTGTGCTAGTTTCGGTTGTACAGTAAAATGTTTCAGTAATACATATATAGTTTTTCAGATTCTTTTCCATTGTAGGTTATTATAAGACACTGAATATAGTTCCCTGTGCTGTACAGTAAATCCTTGTTGTTTATTTTATATATGGTAGTATCTCTTAATCCCATACTCTTAACTTATCCCTTGCTCCTGCCCCTTTGGTAATCATGTTTGTTTTCTGTCTGTAAGTCTGTCTT